ATGTTCATTGACAGGTTTCTGATAAAACTGGTTTCCAGGTCATAAAAGCCTTACGTGATATTTCGATCCTGGATATTATCTCTTCATCAGAGTCACAATTTACATTTAACCAGCTGCCAAGGTATTTGAAATGATTTACCCTTTCTATACGATCGTCACCTATGGATATTATCGGGTTTTCTGGAGGGTTTCTGATTTGTTTCCTGCTGGGACAATTTGCTGCTTTTGTTCTTTTAAAGCCATTCTCCGGCCACTCTTCGTCCACGTACTTCTTATATTCTTATTCACTTATTCCCCTCTTTAAGCTAGCCGTAGTCTCCTCTATTCTTTTTTCTTCCTTCCCATATTGTTTTCTATATCTTCTATTTCTGCTTGGGCACTCATGTCTCTTTTCTCAGCTGTTTCCATTATGGCGATCTTAAGTTTTTTTGTCCATATCCGAAGTGCTTTATGTGCTCCTTTGTCATGTTTGGAGTGCCTACGATTTCTTTAGTACCTTTTTCAGCGCCTTTCTTATCGCGCCTAGTTCTTCGCTTTCTATCCCCTCTTCTACGGTCTTAGCCTCCGTCGAGTCGTCTATTGTTTTTCTCTTTTCCTTCTCGGTCCCTGACTTTTTGCTGACTCTCCCTCGTTATCAGTCCTCATAGGTCATCTGACCATTAAGTTTCTCCTTCCCAACATCTCAGATCCCCCCAGTTCTTCAAGCTGTTTTCACTCTGTGTTTTCGTGCAGATCGTCATCGTTTCCTTTTGTTTTATTAAAACTTGTCGGTTGTTTAGCATCCATATATATTCCCACGCGTCGGGAAGATAGTGCTCCCTTATCCAGCTAAGACATTTATCATCCCGGAAGGTAGCCAGGTATCCTAGGGTCACCGTTTGTGACTGCTTTCCGCGTAGTCATTCATCCCCTGGTCACTCTGGCTCACCAGCCGCGATTGCGAATTTTTTATCGAGGTGTACTCCCCTTGATTTCCCACGGTTTTCTCCGGTAGCAGTAACAGCAATGCTCGTATACCGCTTGGTGTTGTGTTGTGTTATAGTTGCTTACCGTACACTATGGAGAGATGGAAAGGATAAAGGATTAATAAGGTGTGACTGATGTTGAAATTACTTTCACGCTACCTATGGTATATACTTTGCTAAAACCTTAAAAATAACCCAAAAGTAACGAGAGATTCGTCATGCCTTTTTTCAACAACGAAATAGTTCGCCCAATGTTTCCCTGCTTTTTTTATCTTTCATTAGTTAAATAGAAAGCCTTCCTCTCAACAAAGAAATTAGTTTCTATTGTCGAGTACCCAGCTTACCTTCTAAGAAAAACGGAGATCTTGATTTCCGATTAAATAATCTTACCTGTCAAGAGGAAGTGATTAGGTTAGAAATACGACCACACTAGCCTTGTCATTTAAGTATGATTTTCGCGTGGCACTTTTCGGCCAATTTTCTTTTGTAAAACATGTGTGTCCAATTCGAGGACACCGAGTCACTTCTATTTGCCGTTTACTACTACCTGTACTTCTACTTGCTCTTCTGTTTCTCTTTCTTCCCTTTTCTTTCTGCCTACATCAATTTGAGAGATTGCGGATTGAAGTCACCGTAATTAGTTACCGTACCTAAATCATCCACGCCGCTGAGAAGTCCCAATGTACCTGTTGCGAGGGCAACGCGTCAAGTGCCTTTATTATTGAGACCGTTTTATGAAAGACGTCGTTACCTGTGCTTACTTGCTGCCGACTAAGTACAATACAAATTATTCAATTGTGAGTACCGACATTTTTACCTAAATCGTTAGCAGTTGATTTATGACTCCAGCTCAGTGTACCGTACTTATGTATGGTTGTTGTCTTTAACTCCAACCGAACGAACTATTATTAGTATAAAACTACGGTATAATATATACGTATAAATTACGAACAATTTGTTTTATATTTAGGTTATATATTTATGATAAATTTTATACACATATTTGAGGTGATCACGATCAAACATTTAGTAATTTCATGTTTATGTATTCTCAAGGCGTAAAAATCACTTAGTTGTTTTATTTCAAGCTATCAAATATTGACGTAGGTACAATTATAATATTCCTTACCTTTTTTTTATTCTTGAGGATACTAAATTATTCATAATTATTTTTCAAAAAGATATTTTTCGTTTGTATTTAATAATAAATTGTGCAATAACTTATCTGTGCCATTTAACTGTTCAGTAAAAATTGTTATAGTACATTTACTTTAATTATACCTTAATATAACTTTGTTAATGAACTATTTGCTTTTTATTATGTACCTATATAAATTTATTTTTTGTGCATGGTGCATCTCCTTGCATGGTTTACTTTATTCTCGCGTAATTATCGTAACTGTACCTTATCTTTCTCGTTATCTTATTTTATATGTCGTAGGTTTCCGTGTTCCTCTGAAAGTAGGGTGGTGCCCAATTATTTCCCTTCTCTTTATTTTCTAATTTCTCTTCCCTTTATCTTCAGTACTTCTCTATCTGATTCAGTACTTCTCTATCTACTCTGTCATTAAAGAGGGTACAATACTCAGAGTTCAGGCCGTATGTATCTTTGGATATCTTGGTCGTTGACCATTAGGTGACTGTGATTTATGTCGCAGACATTGAAGATGATAGTGAGGACCTGAGGGTCCAGGGATTGGTATAATCAGGGGAATGTTTTTTTGGGGAGGAAGGAGTAATTGGGAATGATTGCTCCGACGTACCGACGCTATTTGGACTGTTCCTGGTTTCATCGGTCGTGCTCTCCTCACATTAGTAGAGACCATCGAGCAAAAAGACAAAAGAGGGAATGTAAAGGTAGTGGGGGCAAAAATATTGTTAGACAGGAAGTGCGATCTTTAGAGGCCACATTAAACAAGGAAAGAGAGTCTCTTCCTTGTTTGACATCAAATTTAGTTGGGTTATGTTATTGTTTGTCCCATGAAATCTAATTTATTTATATTAAGTTTTTTAACAATTGTGTCGCATTTTAGACTATTACCGTTAATAATTAATTAAAACTTTCTCGTCTAAGACACATTCTGAAAAATATTATATAGTTACTGTTAATAAGTGTCGGAAATTTAAATTTGGCGCATTCGCATTTCCGGATATGTCCGCCATCAGAGGCCACTTTTTTGGTCTCCTTTTCATAAGAATTAGATTCCCTCTTTTGTCTTTTTGCTCGATGTTAGAGACCAAGACCAATTACTCGGCCTTCCACTACGTCGAGGTCATTCCATAGCCTCGGAAGGACTCCCATATAAGCTAGCATACTCTTATATTAAGAGAATTCTCAGTAACGGGTTTTGACCCATATATTTTGGTGGCTCATAGCATGTATACCCTGTTTACACTGATGATGGAATTAACATTACGAAAACGTTCTGTAATGTAATTGTGATAGCCCGTTTGGGCATTTTATTACAGTAACACCTCCTTTAACCGAAACGGCTGACAGTTTCAATAATTTCGTCAATAAAAAGTAAATTTTTATCGCAAAACGTAAACAATTCCATTAATTTAACTCACTGATTGATGCCTATGTGTGTTGGGATATCATAAAAAACCAAATGAAAAGATATTTTCGAAAAAGTGCTTCTAGTTTTCTATAGAAGTCCAAAAAGCTCATGGATGTCGACCACTTTATTTTCAGAATGGTTGGAAAATTAATTCGTCTCAAGTGTAAAATCCTTTTTCAAATCAAAAATCCTTCCCATCAAAACATTGTTGCTTCTTGATAATGCGCCAACTCACCCTCAAAATCTACAAAATGGTGACAATTGTCAGATTTTTGTCACCGAATGTCACAAGCTTAATTCAGCCGTTCGACCAGGGAGTAATAGAGACATTCAAGAGAAATTATAGAGGAACATTCCTAAGACATCTGTTATTACAGGAGACGAATGAATGCAAAAGTGTTCCCGAAATTCTCAAATCTTTAACAATAAAACATGTTGTTTATTGGTATGCTGAGTCGTGGGCCAAGATAAAATCTTCAACTTTGGAAAAATGCTGAAGCAAACTTTTTGATAGGATTTTGATTGACGATTCTAAAGAATAAAATGGTAAAGAAACGACAGAAGAAATTAAACCTTTAATAAAACATTTGCCGGGATGTGACGAAATTAACCAAGAAGAGATACGTCAGTGGTTAGCAGCCTATGACTCAGAAAGTGAATTCATCGACCAGGACATCATTGATGATTCTTCTTTCTGATTGATTCTTCATCCAGACAACCTGCGCGTATCAGACGACGAACCGAATGCCAGACAACAATCAGCACGAGACCCCCGACGAGATTTTCAATACCTTAGAGATATTTTATACAGTAAGCCTAAATAGGTAGGGACACGACTAGGTTCTTAATTTTTGTCATTGCATAAAATTTTGTCCTTTTCAGATTGCTTTACGTTTCGTTCGAACAAACAAATGAGGCAAACTCATGGCGTTCTGCAAATGAACGGTGAAGAGATGTAGCTGCAAAACATCGTTGTCAAACAAAAACTCAAAAAAATAGATTTCTTTAAAAAAGCAAGTTAAATTGTACATTTTCCTTTATTTTATTATTTTATTCTGTATTTACTTATTAGAAAACATTACGAAATCACCTCATAGTATTTTTTAATATCTATACTTTGACCAAGTACACTATAAAAAACAATGTTATTTTTAACTGAAATTCTTGTTATCTGAAACGGCCTTCCCCCCAATTATTTCGGTTAACGGAGGTTTTACTGTATATACCTTTTATAAAGGATTTGAAATAAAATTATTTTGCTAATAAATTAATAAAGGAGGCGAGCTTATATGTTGTATTACTTGATAAAATGAATTTCCATCAGTAACAGTCGAAGCCATCACATTTCCAATTATATAATTAAATTTTTTGGATAATCTCCAATAACTCTTCCTAAATTTGTAATTAATCAGCCAGTTAGTCAATTGTATGGTTCTTTTATTTTAGTAAGAAAAAAATTAAACAAAATCAGTTTCTATTACACTTTAATGACTAAATTGCAGAATTTCTTCTCTATAATCACAAAACTTCTTGATTAACTACTGGAGTATTGCTAGTACCATTAAGATTCATAATTTTTTCCAACTTTCTCTTCTTTTCTAACCTCTTTCTGTGCCTATGTGACTTCAGATGGGTTGTCCATTGGAAATCACCCACAAACACCCTTTCACACACATCACAATTGTATGTAGTGTCTTCACTATTTGGGGCTGAGTTAAGGTTTTGTTTTGGTAAAGGCTTGTGAGGGCATGTTGTGTTGTTGACATAGCTATTGACTATTTCCTCTGCAATTTGGCTTACTTTTGATTCCCACATGGAAACATCTGATGTATCCAAACCATATATAGGTGGTATCTAAAATATATCAACATTTTAATAATATAACAATTTGATACTAACCTTTAAACAATAATAAATCACGATGACACACCATTTTATTCACTACTAGTTACCTTTCTGTCCTCTCTGCCAAGAAACCTGTTAAGAATCCACCTTTTCTGTTTCCTAGCATATCTCCTTGTCACCATTTTCAGCTGCTCAATTCCTTCATACAGTTTCTTCTTTCCTTCATCTGACTCTTGCTCTTCTTTGTTCAAAATCAGGTATGGATGGAATTCTTTAAAGCCAATTGATTGGAAAATTCCTTTACTGTAGTCAGGTGTGCTAAGAAAGAGGCAAAATAAGATATTTATTTTGAATTGTAAACAAGTTTTTCTTACAGTGTATTATAGTAATTTACTAAGGTAAATACTAAAAGGTACTACCTACACTTCTAGTGTTTGAGTAGTTACTACTCCTCTATTTAAATAGCTTCATCACTCAAATTTTATTGGGACATTGTTAAAACTAATAGTGTGCTTGTTAACTTTAATTAACAACTATCCACTAAACTTACTCATTGGCTAGTAGTCTTTGCTGATTGTACACTTTATGAAACTCAAGTAGTTCTGTTAAAAGTCCCTGCTTCAACATATCATCTACTCTATCATTCAGTCTTTGATCCAACACTTCCTAGAATGAGACTAAGTTACAAACAGATATTATTTGATTATTTTCAATTTACCTGATCACACTGGAGCCACAAAACTAAAGAATTTGTAAAACGAAGACCTCCTCCTGATTTTGAACTATCCTTAGCACTTTGTTGTTCCTCAAGAAGTTCACTGTGCTTTTTTCCTTTCTTATACAATATTTCTAAGGACCTAGAATAAATTTAAATATCGTATGTTAGGAAAATTTACTTCACGCATGTATACATATTATGATGAATAAGATTAAAAAAAATATGACCTTAGAATCTTTCTTTTGTTATTTGGATGAAGTCTTTTTGCCATTAGTGGATCTAATACCTTCAGTTTCTTGTGCAATTCTTCACTTGATAACTCATGATCATTATTTGAGAACTGACTTCCCACTTTCTGAAAATCTCCATCATCTATCAGGATTTTCCATAAGAGAGATTCTATATAATAGTTAGTACCTCCAACTACAATAGGCATCTTGTTATTATTAAACAAAGAATCTATAACGCTTAAAGCTCTATTCTTATACTGAACCACAGTGTACATATCTTGTGGATCCAGAATATCTATCAGATGATGTGGTGCCACAGACTGTTCTTCTTTTGTAGCTTTAGCAGTAATAATATCAAGACCTTTATAAACCTACGGAAAAATTTATTAATCCATATCCAAATTGAAAAATATAATTTTAAGTATACTTGCATAGAATCGGCACCAATTATTTCACCACAGAATTTTTTGGCCAATTCTAAAGATAATTTTGTTTTTCCTGAACCTGTGGCACCCAGAATGATTACTAAAGGGAGACGGGAAGTCATTACGACCAAATTTTCTCTTAGAATCTTAAAATATTGTTATTGTTATAAAAACACGTGTTTTGTTGTCAATGTCAAAATTGTTCTGTCAAAATTTCAAATATGTCAAACAATATAGTAATCTATCACCACAAAATGGAAAAGATAATTTCAAAGATGGCGCTACAGAAGGATTTTCGATTTTATATCAATTTATATTATATATTATTTTAATTACCTATTTAAAAATCTAATAGTTATAAAATATTTTATTTTTAAACACAAACATACTGGCAAATGAAACGCATTAAATACATAAATAAATCCGTAAAAATTGCAGTGCTGTTGTCGACTTCACTTTAAAATGTATAATAGTCACAAAAATTTTTTATTAAATTTACACCAATAATCAACCATTATATATTATTGGTCTATTCCACTTTAATGGAATTACTAAGGCTATGTCTGAAAATTCTCTATAAATACATTGTTGTCATATAGAGGGCGGTGTAGATTCAAATCATCCTCAGCCTCAGCATTGAAATAGTTGTCAATTTTTTGTTTACATTTATATTATTGAACACCCCTTTTTACAAGTGGATTTAGTAAAGTGATTTAGTTGTTATTAGTGGTCTGTGATTTAGTTTAAATAATTTCTTACTTCTAGACATATATATTTTGACTATGTCTGACTTTTTAGCTGATAATAACTCATGTGGCCAAGTAATATTAAACTTAGTGTCTAGAGGAAATGCAATTATTTCCGAATTATTAAGACTTAAAGATTACATTCCTAGAGTTTATAGGTAAATTAAATCTTAAAATATTTAAAAACCTGTAAAATATTGTAAATTGTATATATCACCTAGAATATTTACAATTTTTTGTTGGTTTAGGTTAGAATCCAAACAAGATGTACAGAAATACAGTGATATCATTTTAGACTTCAATTATTTTAAGATATCCGAGAGTCATGAACAGAAAATCGAAGTCAACGAGGTAAACTGTATCCATACATTATACGGAATACATGTACAATAATACATTTCTTATAGGCACTTAGAGATTTGGACGAGGAATTTCGGGATAATCACATAGAGATTATAAAACGTTTTTACCTAGTTTTTGAGGGTATACACGCATATATTACTGATCTGAATCACTTTATTGATGAATTGAATGAAGGAATGTATATTCACCAAACTTTAGAAAATGTTTTTACTGATGTAGAAGGAAAACAAGTCATGGTAATATCAAATCAAAAAACTTATATTAAGTATTAAGACTTTTTATTTTAGTGTGAAGCTTTGTATTTGTATGGACTTATGTTGATAATAGTAGATGCTTACATAGAAGGAGTTGTCAGGGAACGATTACTAGTATCTTATTATCGATATGCACCTCAAAGACAAGATACAAAAAGTTGTATAGATGAGGTTTGCAAGTTGCTGCGTGATACTGGATATGCAGGTGCCAAAAAGCCTTCTACATATCCTGAAGACTATTTCAGGTAATATATATCTATAAATATAAAGTTTTGAGGGTATTGGTTGGCAATCTATTAATTTTGTTTAAAGTTTAAATATATTTTTTTGTGTTTTTAGGAGAATATTCATAAAACCAACCTATATTGACTATGCAATTGGCTGTTTGAGATCAGATGATATTTACAGTCAAGTTTCAGTATATCCTCTACCCAAACACAGAAGTACAGCATTAGGGAATCAAGCTTCCATGCTGTATGTCTGTCTTTTCTTTTCAACTGATATTCTCCACTCCCAGACTGCTGTAATGAGAGAAATTGTAGATAAATTTTTCCCTGACAACTGGACAATATCCTTATATATGGGTTACACAGTTAACTTAATAGATTCTTGGGATGCTTTTAAAGCTGCCAAATCTGCATTAAACAATACCTTGGAAGTTACTAATGTTAAGAGGTGAGATTTTCAATAATGGAGCTTTGTAAAGTTTTATTTCATATTTTCTTATTTGTTGATTCATTTAATTGTATTTTTAATACATTGTGAACAAAACAATTATTTGTTTGATCTTTTTTTTAGCTATGCTTCAACTTATGGATCAAATGTTCCAAATCTCTTGAAAAAAACAAGTCTTCTGCTTAAAGAAGGCAATATAACTAGTGAAAGTCTACTAAAAGACATAAACAACCTCATCACAACCATAAGAGAATGCAATGTAACTGTTCGGTGGCTGATGCTCCATACTGTACTAAAACCTGGCCAAACTGATAAATTAAAAAGATCAAAACAACTCAGAGAATTGGTCATTACAGAAGCCAAGTGTGAGCCTGGACTACTTTTCAAACTTCTGTTGAATACTGCACAGCTGGAATTGGTAATAAGAGATTTGTACAAACAGCTGCTGACAAACAAAGAGACTCAGTGGGAGGAACTGAAGACTGAGACTAACACTAGTTTGCTGGAGTTATCTGAAGTGTTTGGTGGGTCAAAACCGCTAACTAGAATTCCTAAAAACGAGAAGCTGCAGTTATGGTTTGTAGAGATTTCCAAGGAAGTGCAATCTTTGTCCCAGGTATGTAATTAAGTCATATATTACTTCTACAAAATTAGATGCCCAAAATATATTTTTGACACATATACTGACATAGTAATTTTTTATTTGAAAAAAAAAGATAATTACTATTTAAATGGGAATAAGCCACAATTAAAGGTTAAAGTTAGTTTATTGACGTTCCAATTTCCACTTCAGAAATCATTATCAAAATACAAACATTAGCGCAATGTTTGTATTTTGAGAACAATTTCCGAAGTGAAAATTTATAATAAATGAACAATAAACAAACTTTAACCTTTAATTGTGGATTATTCCCATTTAAATAGTAATTAATAGTAATAGTAATAAAGCAGCAACAATGCACAATGAAACAAGCGAGAGTGGGGAGTTTTTGATAAATTTTGCCACCAGTAAAAACATGGTTATAAGTTCCACATGCTTCCCACATAAAGACATACACAAATAACGGATTTCACCAGATGGAACCACAACCAATCAAATCGACTATGTGCTGATAGACAAAAGGGCAGCCAGTAGTATCTCAGATGTGAGAACAGGACGAGAAACATGCTGTGAATCATACCATCTTTTACTCCAAACAAAGAAAGAGTGAGTTAACAAAGAAAGAAATGAAAGACAACAGGCAGCATCCGCTCTGGGAAACAAGAAAAAGGCGAGAAGAGGAGCATGGTTCGATGACGAGTGCAGACAAGCAATAAAAGAAAGAAATGAAGCACACAAAATGTATATAACAAGAAGAACATGGGAAAAACGAATATCATTTGAAGTCGCAAGATTGAAAGCAGACACGTGGAAATAAAAAAAGAGCCTATGAAAATGGACAACAGAAGCACAAGAAACATACGCAGAGTTCAAAACGCAAACAAAAAGGCTAGGTCTGGAAATTAACAGAAAAAACAAAAATAATACAGACGAGAAGAAATATAGTCCCACAAAAATATACATGAAAATGACATTGAAACTGTTGGAAAGTTTACATACCCGGGAGAAGAAATATATGCCGATGGATCAGGAGATGGAGAAATACGGAAGAGAATAACGCAGGTAAACAGAGCTTATTTTGCCCTCTCCCATATATTCCGTTTTAAAAATGTCCACCGAAATACAAAGATGAGAATCTATAAAAACTTAATTCGACCAATAGCATGTTTGGCAGTGAAGCATGGCTCCTGAAAGAAACATCCAAAAGCAAACTCGACACTTCGAAAGGAAAGTACTGAGGAAAATACTAGGACCTGTGAGGGAAAACGAAATCTTCAAAGGAGGCAAAAAATAAAGGAGGCCAAGGCTCAATTTGTTTGACTAGTTTGGTAGATATATTTAATTTAAATAGGTTTCAACAGAAAAGAATATGAAATACAATTAATTGTTTGTACATCATTTTTCTAGTGAGAAGGCATCCCGTAGCTCTCCCTCATTAGCCGCCACTATTTGTTAGAGATAATCCTATTTTCGAAATTGTTTTATTCCTTTGAAATAGAACTCCTTATCCAACTGATTTATTGTATTGGCAAATAGTAGGATAGTTTATGCATGAAAGCTTGAGTATTTTAAAATAAGACACCTAAAAACGAATGTATTATTTAATTCCTATGTAATATATCGGCCATACCATGGTGGGGGTTGAGATATTGATTCATTTCATAAATATCTATATTTGCAATGAAAATTTGAAGCTTTATATATTTTATGCAAACTTTCATATGAACATAAAGTATTTCTCAGGAAAATAGCAGTTCATCTAGAAAAATAGTGCTGTTGATACAAGCCCTGGAAGAAGTACAGGAATTCCACCAACTGGATAACAACATGCAGGTCATCCAATTCCTTTCAGAAACCAGGAAATATCTAGATCAGATGGCCAGAACGATGACTATAAAAGAAGATATTTTGATCAATTTACAAATAATAGGAGATCTCAGTTATGCTTGGGAACTCATTGATTATTATACCAACATTATGCAACTAGGTAAGTCAAGCTATGAGTTTTCTTCTTAGGGTTCTGTATCCATTAGTACCATCACTAGACCATTTTGTATTATTACTACTGATCTAAACAACTTTATTCATGTTTTGTTATATGCATTACTGTATATCTTTTATCCATTTTTTCTTCTCTTTGCTTCTCTTGTATCTTCGATCTTATATCCAATCAAGAAATACTTATATTTCTTTCTTTAATTAGGTTGTTAGATTATCGTTTTTTTTTTCTATTCTTTTTTAATGTTTATTGTTATTACGGACCGATGATATTCTCGGTCTCTTCAATAAGATGACTCCAAATGTTTTCACTTTCTTTTATAACTTTTTTGCCATCGTCCATAAAACCATAGAATACTGTAGAAATCACATACTGGGATTGCATCTCAGGTACGTTATTTTGGCTAATTGTTAACATAACATAAACAAATAAGACTAGACTCAACTAGAGCAATAGTTTAAGTCGAAGTGGTCATTTCATGGTCATGAAATACTAAAAATAAAGGGGAAGCGGATAAGTTTTTAAGGGTAAAAACATTGAGCGTTTCCATG